ATATAAAAATTGATATACCAGATTCATATGTGTTTCGTACTTATATCTAGTTAGAGTCAATATATACACATAAAGTAGTTTAATGTCTTTTATATATCTATTATATCTTTAGGCCGACAATATTTATCAATCAAAGCAACCAAATTTCACTTGTTTTGGTGCATGATTAGCTCTCTAATTGTCTCTAAACTTGAGTTTAGGCTTTAAATTCATCATACTTTTGTTAGTTGATATTAGTCTTTATTGTCTTCTACTTTATTCAACTATAGAATTATAGTTATCTTTCATAATATATATATATATATATATATATATATATTAAAGATCAATTTTCATATTATGTTATAATATTTAGTTTTTAACGTTTTTTATTTGTTTCAAATATTTAGTTTCTTTCAATTTTCAAATGGTTAAATTATTTTCGAATATTTTAAAGTTTAAAATAATAATTTTATTTAATTAACCAGATTAATAATAATATTGCATGTTTTTTTGTTATTAATTAATTAATTAGTTAATTTTTTATATATTTTTTAAAACATTCAAACATAATTTAATTATTTTGATATTTTTCATTACGAAATAGAAGGACAGTAAACATTTAAAATAAATAGAAAATGATAAGCATTAAATTGTAATAAATGTTAAACTTATCTAAATTAATTTGATAATTTATCCAAATTAGATATAATGTATGTATATATATATATATATTAGAATTTACTTTAAAATAAAATAAGATTAAAAAAAAAAATCAGAAGAAAAGATTAACTTTTATTAAGGTAAATTTATGTAATTAAAAAGAAAAGCTGGCCTTTTCCTGTCATAAAAGAAAATAAAGTTGTTGACATGTTTGGTGAATGCTTGATTGTATAACCTCTCACAACTTACTTTATCATAACATCTTTTCTTTTATATATATATATATATATGTATATATAAAACTAGCCATGTGCTTGCTCTTTTTCTACTCATCATTCTTACACACTTATCTTAGACAATCATATATATATATATATATGACTACACATATGTCAACTTCTTTTCTTATTATATATATATATATATACATATATATTATGAGTAAGATAAAAATTTATTTATAATATTTATTTTAGTAGTTTTACCTGGAATTATAATGATTAAATTGAATTAAATTTTAATAATTTTATTATATTTTTAGACAAAAAAAAAATATTTTACGACTCTTACGTGCTCTTAATTTAAGTAGTCACAGCATGTTAAAAACTCGAGTTAATTTTTTGTACAAGCATTATTTTAAAATAGATTTAGAGTAGATTGACTTCATTCATTTATGAACTTTGACACAATTGTTGTTTTCCATCTGGACAAAAAACTGAAACAGAGGAGGATATTTCATTTGAAAATATATATATATATATATATGACATATAGATTCTAAAACTTCTGTAAATAGAAGCCAATAACGTTAGAGAAATTAATTTAAGTACAATCAGATAGAGATATTACAAAGATGAAGAAAGAAAAGACTAGAAATTAAGAAAGGAATGTAGAATCATAGAGGTAAAAGGTCTTCATACACAAACTGGGCATTTAACCAATCCATTTTCATTACAGTCAGGACATCTAATACACAATTCATGATCACGAACAGCTCCCATCATCTCCCCATCTGCAAATATTCTCCGACTGCCATTGCAGGAGGAACAGACCAAGAACCTTATGTTTCCACAGCCATGGCAGGGACCATTATAAACACCTAAACCTGATATGCCTTGCAGCAGCTTCTTGAGCTTGCCTTGCTCGTGCAAACCCACAACTTCATCAGCTCCACCTATGTACTTTCCCTTTATGAAAAGCCTTGGAGGAATCACTCGGCCACCAAGAATCCGCCATAGCTCCTCTCTGTACTCCAAGTCCATCGAAACATCTCTTTCGTGGAACGTTACTCGAAAGCTTTCTAACAAGAATCTGATGCTGTGACAATCCTCAAATGTCTTCCTTATCCCTCTCAAACTCGTCGTGTAGAAGATGACTGTGTTTTCTCCTCCCGGAGGACATTTCTCTTCAAATTCTGGTAAAGACTGGTTCTCATTATCTTGATCAGCAGTGCTTTTGTTATCTTCCAAGGTGTCCTTGCAATGCTCTATGGAGGGTTCTGAGATGTCATCTTGGTCACCATGACTACTCAAGTAATTCTGATCATCAGACTCAGTTTCTTCATCTTTCTGATCATCTTTAATGACCTGTTGATGATCAGCCATGGGATTATAAACATTTTGAATATTTCTGCGAACTGGTAACTGGGTATGAGTATTTTGGTTGTGTGAGTGGTTTAAGTGAAGGATTAGACCTTGTTTGAAGGTGGTGATTGTTGGGTTAATGAGCTTGAGTTTCTTCAAGACTCTTCCTTTCATGGCTTTCATCTTGGATCTTTTTCTTTTTTCAAACCCTACTATTCAGAAAAGGGTATGGGATATGAATATGATAAAACAGGGAGAGTAGGGTTTAATCTGAAATGAGGATTGAATCTGTAATGGTTGCCAACATGAAAACTGAAAGGCTGTTCGCTAGCTAGTCGCTTTTAAAAGTTGTGAATGATGTCTGAACAGTGGGGTAGTCCTAGTCCTAGTCCATCCTCCCATCACAGGCCACTAATTTACCAATTACCAACAATTTGGTGCCTCATCAATCATCATAATTAGACATAACAAAAGGAAACCCAAAAGCTAGGTGCTTCTCCTCATGTTATCAATGTCAGAATATTTAGACCAAATGCTGTCAAGTCTATGAGTAAAGTTTGTGTATGATTTGTGTATAATTAGGGCTGAAATTGAATCTATACTTTGAAACACGGTACATAG